TTTCTTATTTAAACAATCCTGTATTATAAAGTCTTAGCCTGCGCAAATATTATCAACGACTTCATTTCAGGAGCAGATTCAATCGAAGAAATTTTAAGCATTCGCGATGTGATTGAACTGTTGAAGTGTGGTGGTTTTGCCATTAGACAATGGGCAACCAATCATAGATCCATCTTGGATAACATTAATAAGAAAATTTTCAATCTTGATTGCGTGATCAAAGAAAACCCTATTCAGAAAACGCTTGGAATTGTTTGGGATTCACAATAAGATTCCTTCAAATATAGTGTACAGCCTATCGAGTCTTCACTTGTTTCAACTGAACGGAAACTTTTATCCGAAATATCAAAGATTTTCGACCCCATTGGCCTTTTGGGTCCAGTAATTTTCTATGCCAAATTATTAATTCAGGATTGTTGGAAGGCCAAAATTGTTTGGGATGAATCCATTCCTCGAGACATTCAGACTAAATGGAAATCGTTCGCTGAACAATTGCCATGTTTACAAACATTTTCAATGCATCGGCATTTATTAGGAGTGAAACCAGTTAACATAGAAATTCATGGATTTTGCGATGCAAGTGTGACGGTCCCCTTTAAAATACCTGCATGTATTTTGTTTCCCAAATAATTTATAAGATAACAACCGGATGTCGATCAGGCTACACATAACAACGATATGCTACTGAGAATTCTACTTAAAATGCTACCTGAAGCATTTTGCGTATTAGACCACACAGTAGGATATGCGCCCGTCACTAAAGCGTTGAAACATAAGAAAGTAAGATAAGAACAACCCTAAACCTCGGGCAGTCGAGCAGTCAGTTACTGAGTCAGTCAGCAATCGTCTGAGCTATTGTGCGTGTCTACTCTGTATCTCGAAAATAAATCAATTGTTCATAGTGGTGATTTCCAAGTGTTAACAATTATTTTAAAAGTACACGCCCTTACGTGACATTTTTGGCGATCTTGCCAGGATATTATTCTATTGGACGTCGGAAAAACCAACGAAGAATCATCTACGGAAGATACTCCTTTGGGACTACGGTCATTCCAGACGACGACAAGACTACGAGCTTGCATCCAACAAGGTAAACACTGGCTTTTACACAGTATCGTACTAGAAAGAATAGTTCCGATTCTGAAGACTCAGACGAAATGGCTCCGATCGATCCTAAACTTCAACAAGCCACGGCTAGTTCGACTATTCAGGAACAAAATTTGTTACGACAAATTCTCGATCGAATACAAAAGGCCGATGAAGCCAATCGTGCTAACTTTGAAGCACTAAGTTCTGAAAATAAAAAACGAGCCGCAGAAATAGAAAATCTCGCGAAGACTCTTCAATTAACTACGATTAATGAAAGTGAATCAAGAAGAAGTGAAAGTATTCTAACAGAAGATAGTGACGAACAGGAATCAATTGTTCCACGTACCGCATATGAAGAAAGTCCACCAGCACGCGGAGAATCGAGACAACCACTTGAGAGAGGACCTCGCATTTCCGAAGAAGCTACATTAAAGGCAAAAGATGCTGTGGAGTTAATCCCGACCTTACGAGGACGAGATGACGTGGGAGTAGAAGATTTTATAAAAAGCGTAAGATTTGCACGTAGCCAATGCATGCAAAAACCNCTATTATAGTTTTGTGCCTTACAAATACTTGTATTGTATTGTTGTATTGTATTGTATTGTTTATTTACCATCCAATAGAAAAAAATTGAAGATTCTTATTTCGTGTGTAAAATATGCAGGATTTTTATTTCAGTACGAGCTATTAGATTCAAAAGATATTCGGACGCCGATTATAGTCGGCACCCGTACACACAGCACGTCGCGCGGCCGCCGACAATAGTCGGTGTCCGTAGCGAAAGGGTTAAGAACATTCGAATCTAATCGGGTGACGGATCTCCAGACTTTGAACGATCGAGTACAATGGAGACATATTAATTCTAAGGATAATCCGGCTGATTCTCTGTCTAGAGGTCAATTACCATCCGATTTTCTCAAAAATTCACTTTGGATGTCGGGTCCTTGTTGGTTATCTCGTTCGGAGAAGGAGTGGCCTAAGCATATAGAACGGTTAATAGAGGAAGACGTCGGACTGAAGAAACAAGTGTGTTTATTGGCACATGAGATTCATGATTTTCTTGTAAACCTTTACACTCGATTTTCATCTTATCCTCACCTCCTAAGAGTGGTTGCATATTTACTACGTTGGAAAAATTTGAAAAATTTGAAATCTAGTAAGTGTCAAGGGAATCAATTACTTCTCTTTGAAATTCAGGAGGCGGAGTCTTTAATTATTTCACTAGTCCAACACGAAAAATATGCTAAAGAAATCAAATTCCTCAAAACGGCTCGGGGAACCACTCATGGCGAAATCTCTGTTCCTTTTCGGAAAAGTACCAAGCTGGATGAGTTGAATCCCTTTCTCGATGAATATGGTTTGATTCGAGTAGGCGGTCGTTTAAAAAAGACTGACTTAATTTACAATCAAAAACATCCTTTGTTGATGCCTAGTAAGCATCATGTATCCGATCTCATCATTCGGGAATATCACGAAACTAATCTACATGCCGGTATTCAATCAACTTTGTATAGTTTACGTGAACGCTTCTGGATTCTCGACGGAAAGAATCATGTCCGTCGGATTGTTCGTCGATGTATCGAGTGTATTCGAAAACGATCAAAAATGATGCAAGCTCAAATGGCTGACTTGTCCGTATCTCGGGTGATTGAGGCCCCGGCTTTCAGTCGTACTGGAATAGATTTTTTTGGGCCAATTCTTATGAAAGAAAAAAAGAGCGCAACAGAAATTTTATTAAAAGTTATGGTTGTGTTTTTATCTGTATGGTTTCTAAAGCTGTCCATATAGAAGTGGCAACAGATCTTTCAACCTCAGGTTTCCTAGCTATTTTGCGTAGGTTTATTGGCCGAAGAGGTGTGCCAGAACACATCTATTCTGACAATAGGACCAATTTTATAGGAGCCAGCCAGGAGCTTCGGCAAATTTACAAGTTGTTAGACACCTCAGAATTTAAAGAAGCTGCAAAAAGTTTTGCACTTTCACGATGAATTGAATGGCATTTCAATCCTCCGGTCTCTCCTCATTTTGGAGGTATCTGGGAGGCAGCTGTGAAGAGTTTCAAGCACCATTTAAAGCGTGTTTTGAAGGATCATAAGTTAACATATGAACAGCTCAACACTTTGTTGATTGAAATTGAAGCTATCCTGAATTCGAGACCACTGTGTACTCTTTCAGCTGATCCAAATGATCCTTTGGCGATTACTCCTGCTCATTTACTTATAGGTCGACCGTGCAATTTTTTACCAGATAAAAATTTCATTTCAGTTCCTGATAACAGACTCTCGACATACAATTTTATTACCAAAGCCAGACAGGATTTCTGGAATAAATGGCACCAGAACTACTTAAATGAACTCCAGAAACGTCAGAAGTGGCATCAATCAAACGCAGAATTAAGACCTGGATCAGTGGTTGTTTTAATGGAGGAAAATTTGGGATGTAACAGATGGCAGCTAGGTGTAGTCGTCGAAGTTTTCCCTGGAAGCAACGGCATCGCTCGGGTGGCATCAATTAAGACAGCCAAAGGCGTTTATAAACGCAATATCACGCGTTTATGCATGTTACCCATTGCGTAAGCGTTGAAAATCCATAGAT